AGTGAAATCAGGCATTTTGTCAAATGCCTAGGCAGATAGTCAAATTTTAACGGTCTATACAAAATTTTGCGAATTCATGGCAAAGAGCTCACCACTTTTTACTATTTTTGGAAAAATAACTCATCAAATAGCTGCGAACATTCCTGGCTCTTCCTCTTCAATCACTTCTTATATTTTTAAATGTTAAAATTCTAAAAATTCTGTATTTTATGACATGTTGCAAATTTCAAGATAAGTGCCTGTTCAGGAGCTAAAACCCGTTTAAAATACTATTGTATGATACCAATTTTTACTGAGAATTTTTTCTTGCAAGAGCAATGAATTATTTTGTCTGAAATTAGGAAAAGAATCAGAATTTCAATCTAAGTTAGATTATTTCACTGTTTGCCTAGGCATTTGACAATATGCCTGATTTTACTAATGGCCTGCGACATTGACACCATGCAACGTTACCCTTCGTCTATAGCTTCGTCTATCAATGGACCACTAGACAAGGTACGAATTTAAGCTTTCTTATACATGTTTCCTAACCAGTATTTCACGCAGAACACGATTCACACAACGAAAATTACTGAAACCAACTCCTAACGAAGATATTAACGTTTTTATTTCACACTGGTTACGAGGCATTTGAACTGCCCGCTCACAAGAAACTCAAAGCTCTACGTGAGTCAAATCGCGCACTACAACGGTTTCAGCAAGCTTCTCAATCGAGCAATGTTCATTTCCCACTATGTGTCGTTCAAACTATTAGCAATTTGCTACAGCTGAGCCAAAGCGTTAAGATTGAGGTTGCCAGATTTTTATATCGCAGAGACTGTCATGATAACGTTTAGCGCGCGATGTGAATCACGTAGAGCATTGAGTTTTCATGAGCGGATGGTTTGAATTCACCCATCAAAAATCATAAAATATCTTCGTAAGGAGTTAATTTCGGTAATTTTTGTTTTGCGCATCGTGTTCTACGTGATATTTTAGTTTCGAAACATGTATCAGGATGCTGAAATTCGTACCTTGTCTAGTGGTCCATTTCAACAATCAGCCCGCAGTGAAAATCGAAAACGATTCGAATTATGTTCATTCAAGCTAGAATCGAGGAGAAAACGAACACTAGAACAATCCCCGTGGCCTTCGACGACCGCACGTTTGAATAATTAAAGCTCATGTGAGCGTTTTTGGAGGCTGGACGTCCGGGGAGACGTCCGTCGCGTCCTCGGACTTGCCCGGGACCCGCATTTCAGGGCCGGTGCATCGCTAATTAACGTCTCCGAACTGAGGCTGATGTATTTAAATGAAGTTAGCGGCGGCGAGGGTCTCCATCTGCCGGCGACTTCGAGCCAGGCGTTAAATGCGCAAACCGCCGAGGCGCCGAGGCTTAGTCGCGTCGAGACGTGCCAAATTTAGACGAACATTTTTGGACAAGCAGCATCGGAAATATTTGTATTTATGGTAAAACTTAAAATTAAAATAAAAATAAGTTCAAGACAAACCACGATGATATTCATTTTGTGTATAATTAAACTACTTACATGCCGAAGCTTTTCGAGACAGCCGCTTTTTTTGACAGTCACAGTTTTGGTCACTTGTCACTTGTCTTATCAATGATTTTAACTTTTATTATAAGAATGGTTTATTTTATTTAATTTGATATTTAAACTCCGAATTGCTATGTAATTGCCTTTACCATGTAGTTCCTCACTTTGCTTATTTGGTTGCTTTGTAGTCTCTTTGTTGTTTTGCATGTGTTGCGTATGTAAGCCCCGATGATGGGACCTGGGGTCTCGAAAAGCTTCGGCATGTAAGTAATTTAATTATGCATAAAATGAATAGCATCGTGGTTTGTCTTGAACTTATTTTTATTTTAATTTTAAGTTTTACAATAAATATGAATTTAGACGCACATTCTGCCGTCACACAGAGGACCGAGTCAATCAGAGAGGTCGGACGTTAAATTTTTGACTAAAACTGCAAATGATGTGCCCCATTAAGGAGGGTATTTTGGCCCTAACTTTGGTCGCAAATGGAAATAGCTCAGAATAATGTCATGTATGGTCAAATCGACTTTTAATCATCTACCCTGTGAGAACCTGTCCTTTTTTGAGGTGTTTTTGAAAGGTTTTTGCCTGATTTACCAGCGTAAAGTAGTGGAGTTTTGCAGTTTTCTCGAATAATTGCTCATTTTTGTTCCTAAATTAGATTGTTTAGGCATGAGCACAAGCGAATATCACTTTCATATCAGAATATGTCAATCTTTAGTACACCCATTACAACATATTTAAAGGAGAAAGTGGTAGTCGCTTGTGCTCATACATTAACAATCTAATTTAAGACCGAAAATGAGCAATTATTCGAGAAAACTGTAAACTTCACTACTTTGCGCTGGTAAATCAGGCAAAAACCTTTCAAAAACGCCTCAAATAAGGACAAGTTCTCACAGGGTAGATGATTCAGAGTTAAATTGACCATACATGACATTATTCTAAGCTGTTTCAATTTTCGACCAAAGTTAGGGCCGAAATACCTTCCTTAACGGGACACATCCTTTTTATTTTATGTTTCTTTCGTCACATTTTAAATTTCAAGGGATGCTTTAGGGAGAGAATTTCTCAAGGAAACCAAAGGGACCCGTTTTAGAACCTCGCAGTTTTGCATGAACGGAGTTATGAGCGTTTACAGTTTCAAAAGTTTGTCCGACTTTCCTATTGACTTAGATTTACTGTGCGTCCGCGGCAAAAATCGTCGTTCCTCCGACGTGAGGGTGTATCTCAATTGCCATGCGATCCCTGTTTCCAGAGATAGAAACTTTCATGAAATTTATTAGCGTAAAATTTCACTCGTGAAATTTTTTCAAACTTTTGAGGATGCATCCAGGAAGCCAAGAAACGCCTAGAAACAGTGATTCTTGATCATGTAGAACAAAGCGTATGAGTGCAGTTTTTTTTAAAAAAAATTGAGATATTAATGATTCCAAGTAATACTAGTCTATAAATGCGCATTCTGCGAAAAATTCGTTCCCAAATTTCAATTTTTAAGCATCTAAAAGTAAGTTCGAACTTCCTCTCCGCCATATAGATCTATGTAATTTCGAAACTTTAAACACGCATTTCTCAAAAAAGTAAAAACTGCACTTATGCGCTTTGTCCTCCAAGCCCCTCAAATCACATAAAGATATTTTGAGGAGCGATGTTGTGCAGACTTATTCGTGGCTGATGCTTCAGGCACTCGTAAAAATGAAAATAAAACTGAAGTCGGAAAATGGAATTTCGAAGGGATACGGCATCACTGTGTCTATCCTCCGCGGAAACGTGTGAGGTGTGAGAAAATGTGTTCCCTGTTTCGACCGCACGCTAAATCCACCGGGGCCGAGAGTTTTACTTCCGGCTTTTAATTGATTTAAAAACACCCGCTTTCCACGGCGAAAAGAGCCGGAATTAATGGCGCTAAGTCCGTCCTTTCCCTGTCTTGACCATTTATTCAAATGAGAAAAGTCGCTTCGCTTTAAAGGCTACCTCGTCTAAATCGAGCGTTCCCTTGGGGGTTTTAAAAGTGATTTTATTTAAAGTGTTTTTAAGGTGCGTTTTACTGGTAGTTCTCAAGGACAAAATTCTTGAGATAAATACAAAATTTCCTTGGGACAAAATAAATAAAAACGCAAAACCGGTCTTCTTGCCACCTCGACCATCCATTTCAATGAGGAGAATTTCTTCATTTTAAGAATTATTTGATTCAAATTGGATATCCAAGACTAACGAACATTACCTCCTAACTGACAATTTTGGCGAAAATGAGTTAACGATTTTGCCTCATTCTGCAAAAGTACGCAAGTTGATTATTTTAGTTTTTTCCAGTTCTATAGTGGAGCGATGCAATGGCACTGAAATGTATGAGAATATTGAAAATGTAACATTGAAATTACAAAAATGGCAAAGTTTTCTCCTCTTTCTACAAAATCGTCAGTAAACCGATAGGCGGTACTGTTTGTTGGCCATCGATATGTCATAGGCAATTAGCAATCGTGGGCAGCTTGCAAGCGTTTACTTTTTTTGCAATGCGAATCAGCTTAATGAGGGCCTGATGGCCTTCAAAAGCATGATCTCGTCTTGGAGCGCCTTCATTTTTTGTGATACTCAACGCTTTGTCACGGTGTTCGTTTAGTTGCGTGATCCAACTGAACCCAACTAAGCTCATGGCTCTCACCACACGCTCTTGCCAATTTACCTGTTACTACCATTGTTTTATGGAGAGAAAAATGTTCACGCTTATTAAAGGCAAAATAATCAGTCCTTTAATCTTGTTCCTATGTTTCTGAAATCTATTCTTTTCTATATTTATTCACTTGTGGCTTTTAAATTGCCGGCGACAGATATACCTTTAAGGATTTTAGAAGTTACTTTATGAAATGTGTGAGTGGAATGTGTGATGCGACCAATTGATGCGATATATCGCATCAATTGGTTCCATTTTTTCAGCTTCTCTTCAATTTTCTCGAATTTTAAGATCGCAATTCTGTTGTCATGAGTCTAAAAAATTCGTGTACCAAATTTGACGAAGAAATTCAACGTAATTAAGGCGTGGTTTTTTTAGAAAAAAATAACCGCATTCGATACCGATATCGAAACTGCACTCAAATGCAATATTTTCCCCTTAAAAAAAGCACGCCTTTATTACGTTGAATTTCTTTGTCAAATTTGGTAAATGATTTCTTTAGACTCACGACAACAGAAGTGCGATCTTAAAATTCGAAAATATTACAAGTAGTTGAAACTATGGAACGAATCGATGCTATATATCGCACGTCTTTCTGACACAGAAAATGGCGTCCGTCGAACTCACCTTAAAGACCCCGGCTCTGAAATTGACAAAAATTTCTGCACCACATTTTCGGTCTACCTTTTCCACACCCTATGAGGTGCCTAGCCACTCGCCAGTCGCAACTTCTGAATGACATCGAGAGGAAAAAGAACATATCTTAAGAGATGTGTCAGAAATATATCACCAACCTTCAGTGCAGACAGGATGGGCCTCAGTCCACGTCCCATAGAGGCACTCAGTGGAGGATTCGCCTTCAAGCACAAATCCGTCCTTGCACTTGAATTTAGCGCGCATTAAGTGGTCCGTTTTGGGGGCAATTACGATACCGTTGGCAGGAGCTTTTGGTAAATATTTACATCGGGCTGTAAAGAGGAGAAAAGAAAATTTAGAGATTATCGAGGGTTTCAGGCCATTCCGTTAACGATTTTTTGTCCGTGCACCTGTTTTGTCCAGTAGATTACGTTCAAGCGTAAACTAAGCAACAGTGACTTGGTCCAAGCGTTGACAGCAATTTTGACACGGAACCACCTTAATATTCACAAACCACATTTTATATTTTCATTTAATACATTTTTTTTTTCATCAATTTAAATGAGAATAATCCATGCAGCGTGTGCAAACATTTCAAAATTATGAGTTGAAAAACGCTGGCTCCGTGAGTTTAAATATTAGAGCCAGACACAGAGCGGAGCGAAACGCGGAGTGCTGCCAGCGCGACACGCGCACTGACGCCTACAAACCTAACAGGGATACTTCACGCATTGCGCAATGTGTGAAGTATCCCTGTTAGGTTTGCAGGCGCCAATGCGCGTGTCTCGCTAGTCACCCTTGCCCGCCGCGCCGCAGCGCTTCAAGCAACTAGATTGCAACAGAGGTGTTGTACAGTATCATACAGAATTGAAGGCTCCCCGACGTATCAAGAATGAGAAGCATTCTATAGGAGTACGGAGCTTTCCTCGCAAAATAAATCAAGACACTATGGCACAACAAAAGAGCGGTAGTCCATAAACTCACTAAGTATTTGCAGTTAGCACCCGTATTTAATAAGTTTAGCATAATTGTTTAATTTCGTTGTAGAAAAAATTGTCTCGATATAGGCTTAAATATTCTTTAGTATGCCGTAAGAAGATTTTATTTTGAATCAAGAATAAAATAGTTGAATGAAGGCGGGCTTTTGCTTGAAGTAAGTGGCTTTTCGTTTTATATTCAATAATTTTATAAATCAATTTTAAAAATCAGCCAACTGAGGACACATGTCAATTAAACGTATTTATGCTAATAAGAACTATGGTCCACGCAAAACCTATGCACACAGTTCCTTTTAGCATAAATACGTCCAATTGAGAGACTGGAGACATGGTTCTATCAGGAGACATGTGTCGATAAGAATGCATGTGTAGAGAACACGTCGCTTCTCTGACGTAGGGTCGTATTTTCATTTCCACGTGAGCCCTGTTTCACATGTAATTTCATGCTTTCTGGGGCTCATGCGGAAATCTAGTTACGCCCTTTCGTCAGTTAGGCGACATGTGTCGATCAGAGGTAATTTATCGATAAGAGTGCAATGCACTCAGTGCATGCTTCGATCACGGGACATATCGATGGTCAAAGTGCAAAACCAAGTATCTCCATTGCGGTGTCTCAAAATGCCTGCTGCTATTTTATGTTTCGGAGAGGAATAAACCAACTTAATAGCTGGAAAAACGCATCTCGCGTGCTGTTATGATAAAGACGAGGAAAAAGTATACCGAAACACGCATAATATAAATAAAGTTGAAGTAATTTATTAGCTTCGGTGCATTTCGGGCTTAGCCCCTCTTTAGCAAGCAGTTACAAACACAAAACACAGCTGAACAAGTTAATCAGAGTAACAAATTAAGAGAAGAAATTATAGAGTAACAAATAATTTGTTTCTCTAATTAACTTGTTTAGCTGTGTTTCGTGTTTTTAACTGCTTGCTGGAAGATGGGCTAAGCCCGAAATGCATCCAACACTGAAAAAAAAAATCGGTGTATTTACTAAGAAAAGGGTAAAATTACCAAGAATTCAGGGTTCTATTTGATCCCACTTTTTTCTTGGTAAAATTACCATTTATGGAATTGGTAATTTTATCGAGAAATCTCGGTATAATTATTGAACTTTCTCGGTAATTTTACTGGACCTTGGAAAAACGCCAATATTTTTTATCGACTGTGGTAGAATTACCGAGATAAAATGGCAAAGTTACCGGGAATTGATTACCAATAAAAGTGGTATTCTTACTTGAAAAAACAGTAAAAATACCGGTATTTAGGTAAGCTTACCAGTCTGTCTTGGTAAAATTATCAATAATTGGTAAAAAAGTGAGATGGTAAAGGTGCGAACGGACCTTGGTAAAAACGCCGAGAATTTTTTTCAGTGAAGCTAATAAATTACTTTAACTACGATATTATGCGTGTTTCGGTATACTTTTTTCTCATCTTCAACTTAACAGCTTGAAATCTATACATACTATTGGATTTTAAAGACAGGGCTCTGGTTACCTGGCTGACAGCTTGGAAGGCGAGACCACGTGCCATTCTGACAGATGACCGGCGTGTTGTTGGCCGACGGCTCGAACTTGTCCTCGCAGTGGAGCACCAATCGCGCCCCGTGCGGCGCCATGTTCGCCATCACGCTCACGTTCCCCGGAGACCCGTGCGTGACCGTCACGCGACCCTGAGCCACCTCCGGAATCACGCACGGAGCTGCTCAAAAACAGAAAAATAAATCGAGGAATCAGTCGCTATAAAACACTCAACTAGCGTAGAATAAACTAGCAGACAAGGTGTAAACTTAAGTATTCAGCGGACAGATTATTGAAATTTTGTGTTTTTCGTGTGGACATATCGTCACCTTCCAGGCAAAGTATCGCAAGCGCCATGCGACGTTTAAAAATTTCCGCCGCCATTTTATTTTTTTACAGAGAAATCGTTCCACGAAGCTGTCCGAAAATTTCACTGAATTTCCTTCGTGCTGCCGATAAAATTTAGTGAAATTTCCAAACAGATTCAACCAACAATTTCTCAGTAAAGAAATAAAATGGCGGCGGAAATTTTTAAACGTCACATGGCGCTTGTGATACTTTGCCTGGAAGGTGACGATATGTAGGTTAATGGCGGAGCGTGACTGGTCGGCTATGTCTTATCGCTGTTTTCGTCATGCCTTTGTCAGGTGGAATTTACGAGACGCTTAAAGGCACCTCTTGAGTTTCCGACAAGATGTCGTCCATTCCACCTGACAAGGGCCCAACAAAGTAGCGATAGGACATAGCCGACCAATCACGCTCCGCCGTTCAACCTATGTCAGCCCGACAAACGCAAACTTTCAATAATCGGCCCGCTGGTTCCACCAAAATTTCACGTAAAGCACGATTTGAGCAACAAAAATTACTGAAATTAACTCCTGGCTGAGATATTGAATGTTTCTTGATGCGTGAATTTAAACCTCCTGCTTTGATATAAATTAAAAACTTAATATCTTAGTCATGATTCAATTTCAGTAATTTTTGCTGCGCGAATCGTGTTTTACGTAGATTTCTGGATTGAGAAACACACCAGAGTGCCTTAACTCGTACCTTACTTTGCCCACTGGTCCATTTTCATCCAAACATAAGAAAATCAGGAGGGAGAGGGGAGGGGGGAGCAAATCATCATCTGTCAAAGTAAGACACAACGACAAGGGCCCCGACCGCATCTCATACTGGTCCTTCCGTAGATATTCTTCCACGATGCGAGGCAGAAATGTGTGATACAATTATATCAACGTACAAGTGGCTTAAATTGCATAACTCCGGGAAAGAAGGCGTTTTCCGTTTCTCGCGTAGTCTTGTCAATGGAGCGAGCTATCGCTCGGTTTAATGCGATGCACATTCTTGAAACAAAAAAACGCCTTCAAAAAGTCCAGATACTTCACGCGAACCTGCGGATTTTAAATATTTATAACTCCCTAAGAATCGGACATACCTAAAGTGACAAGAGCTGCATGTGACTACTACCGAATATATACTTTCCATACATTTTTTACGCGTATTTCTCCTAAAAATGGATACTTTGAATATTTTATCGGAGGAAATTTGATAACATTCGAATGTTTATACTTTGTTGTTGCTTGGCACGTCAGGATGAGGTAGGCCCGGAGAAAAGTAACAAACCCTCATACAATGCAATCTCGCGCAGGAGGGAAAAATTCTAGTTTGCCTCTCGCCGCACGGTGGATCGTGTCGATCAGAGAGATCGGACATGAAATTTTTGACTAAAACTGCAAATTGAGGCGTTAGGTGCAGAGAGGGAATATCTTGGTTACGGAGTCTCAAAATCGTCAAAGCTCATTTATTTTTTTTTATATTTTTATTTTATTTCTTTTTCAGTTTTTAGGAAACTATTCAGTGAATCTTCTGAAATTTTTAATTTTCAGTATCGTAGAATCACGAAGAAAATTCAGTAAAAGTTGCAAAAATTTTTTTACAATATGCTTAAACTGTAATGGATAAAACGTCACCCCAGATTCTGAAACACCACAATCGAGAAATGTCCTCTCTGCACCCAGCGCTTCAATTGGACGAAATCCTATCAAACGGAACTATGTGTATTAAGACGTGATTTCATCAAAAAGAGATCAGACGAACTTTGAAGGAAACTCGATTTCGAAAATTTGACACTTGCTCTCTGCGCTATCACGGCAGATAAGACAAACAGAGCCAGCACAACACGGCATTACATCAGAGAAAAGTACGCTCGTTGATAACGGCGCAGAGATACAACTATTCGTACTTGATGGATGTCCGTGTTGCATCTGCAAAATTGAAGGCGCTATGGCGTGAGGCGTGAACTAGCAATGCTCCGCTCTAGGCTGCTAATAAGGTGTCACTCAGATGCGGAAAAAAAGTTTAAGAACGAGGCTTGATTGGAAATATATATGCCAAACGGAATTATGTGCGTCATGACGTGAGCCCTGTTGTGCGTGTATTCTTATAGGTCCCAAGGCTCATTTCTTATTGCACATAGTTCCGTTTGATAGAAATACGTCCCATTTTGATGTTTATGTCGTCGCATTTTAAATTTTGAGGGGTGCCTCTAAAAGAGACTTTCACGAGAGAACCAACGGAGCCACTTTTAGATCTTCAAATTTTTGTACAAACAGAGTTATAAGCTTATAAAGTTTCCAAATTTTGTCCGACTTCTCGCGCTGACCCGGTCGAGTGTGCGCAGCGTGCGAGCGCTATCTCTGCTCACAAAGTTTATTCTTTCAGGTTTCCTTTGAGCGGAACGGGGAAAAAACGGAGTTCTCCGAGGAAGTGAAATAAAACTTAACGAGGTATAAAATTGAATCTCTTTCAAAGAGGTAAACAAATAATCCGGCACGGGTTTAAAATGAAGAGTTTGTACCGCCCGCGCCTGTTCATGCACCGCGATGTAGCGCCTGATGAGTTCCTCTCGCTGGTATGTTACGCTATCGAAACAAGAGGTTGCTCTAATCTCGTCTCTCAATTGGACGCATTTCCGCCAAACGGAACTATGTGCATTGTGACGTGAGCCCTGCTATGCATGTATTCTTGTGGGTCTCATGGCTCATGTCTTAATGCACATAGCTCTGTTTGGCAGAAATACGTCCAATTGAACGGCTCTCCGTGGAAGTGCGTTACCTGCATCCTGCCGTGCTGAGAAAAAACCCCGCATGAGGCTTCAGGCGTTGCCAATCTTCCTCTGATAAAATCACAAATTTGCGGGGAAACTTGTGGGAAACAGTATTTTTCTTTCGATTTCTCTACGAACTCTGTCTGTAATTCGATCTGAATTGTCTTAGGATTTAAATGAGAAATATTCATAACTTTTCTCAAAAAAAAATTTCTTCAGAGTAAATTAGGCAACATTTGAATGTCTATACGACGTTTTTCCTTAGCGCAGGAGCATGGAGAGCCTTGGAAAACCGGCTCTCCGTGAAAGTGAAAGACCCCGAGCCCCCCTGAGAAAAAACCCCGTATGAGACATCAGACATTGCCAAACCTCCTCTGAAAAATCACAAATTTCCGGGGAAACTTGTCAGTATTTTCCTTCCGATTCACTATGAACTTTCTCAGTGATTCGATATAAAGTACCTGGCAATTTCAATAGGAAATATTCGTAACTCTTCTCAAAAAAAAATGTTTCTTCTGAGAGTAAATCTTTCAGGCAAAAGACACAAGTTATGCTATGAATTGGACCTATTAAATCAACAGGAACTAAGTCCATTCTAACATGAGCCCTCAGATCCATAAGAATACATGCATAAGACGGGTCATATCACAATAGATATTTCCTTTATGAAGACGTCCATTTTCTCCGAGATTGTTGCAAGCCCACGTGGCTGTCGTTGCCTGCAGAACGAGGTAACCGCTGACTGGGAGCAACATTGCCGTGCTGAGAAAAAACATTTTAAGAACATTTGAATGTTGCCGAATCACCCCACATTAAATTCTTATTTTTATGGAAAGTTACGAGATTTTTTTTTTTGGAAATTTTCAAACGTTTAAGATAAAATCGAGGACAAAATTCTTAGAAAAATTTGGAACAAGATATTCATAAGTCTCTCGGAAAATTTAGGTTTTCTGAAAGGAGATTTGGCAACGTCTGAAGGCTCGTACGGCGTTCTTCCTTAGCATGGCCGAGTAGTCGATAAACTCGTCGGCTGATGGAGGGACATGCATTGAACATGAACGAGCGTGGCCGATATTAGCTCTCGGCTGTCAACTTATGAATCGCCCCCCCCATCCCCCCGCCCTCCCTGCCGACGCGGTGAAATATGCTCGCCCTTAGACGTAATTGGCTGCCCGAAAGCTCGGCCCGACCGTGGTCACCGTTGCCGTTTCGGAGGAATACTCTAGGATTTTCGTGTAGTGAGAGATGGGAAAATGGTAAATTTTACGTACATTTTGACAACGTCGGATCTTACGCCGCGACTGCGGCCCGGCGGCTTCCGTTAGCGCTCGTAAGTGCAAATGTTCCAAGTCGACAGCTCGGAAGAATGAATCGTTTGTTTTGAAACAGACCAAACTCCGAGGAGGGGGGGGGAGGCCGCGGGAAAATAGAACGTTTTTCAATTTCCAAATCGAAGTCCCGCATGCGAAACCCGCGTATCTCCATTGCATTGTTTCAAAATGTTTGCTCTCATTATGACTGTCTGAAGAGAATCAAGCCAATACACGGAGAAAAATAATTCGTGCGTGGGACCCGGAGTTTAAGTCATATGGATCTCTGAAGTTTTCGGATTGAGCATCTGAACACTTTAGGTCCAGCTGCTAAGGTTTGGATCACACATATGAAACTTCAGTTCTTACATGTGAAGTACTTCGGTTTTCACATCCGAAAAACTTCGATTCTCACATCCGAAAAACTTCGGTTCTCACAACTAAAGTACTTCAGATGTAAGAACGGAAGTTTCAGATGTGTGATCCGAACCTCGACAGCTAGACCGAGAGTGTTCAGATGCTCAATCCGAAAACTTCAGAGATCCATATGACCTAAACTTCGGGTCCCACGCACGAATTTTTTTTCTCCGTGTATATAGCCTGAAATTATTCTTAGAATATTCTGCTATGAGACAGAAAAAATCAAGGAAGTTTTCAAGAAATTATGTTGACTAGTTTTCCGAAGAAAAATGAAATATGACAGGAAGTCTGTGAAGTTGTAGACGGAGATACGTGGTTTCGCACTTCGTCCATCAAAACAGAGCTCTGAAGGTACCTAAAAGCATGAAACATTTATCTTCTGTATTTCAATCCTTGATTTTAAGTTTCTGTAGACTGAAGCCTATTTCCCGTGGGCGGTTTCATGCCGATCAATACAAGATATCTGTTCGCCAATTTTAATAATTTCGCTTAATTCTGCAACTTAACATGCCGTTGAGTAAATCATACATACATGAGTCGCTTTTATAAGCATGAGTCGTTGAGTAAATCAAAAAGTTTAATATAAGGTACAGAATACAAGACAAGATGCATAAACAACAAAAGCTTATCGAAGGGTGTGGCGCCAGTCACTAATGAACAGACACAAATTGACGCATCCATACTTAATAGATCAAGGTAAAAACGCATTCGATTAAAACACTACGAGGACCGCAAATCTTCGCAAGGACGTAAAAAACAAAAACGAAAAAATTCACACAAAAAAGAGACACAAAAGCTCGAAGTATGGGGGAAGTTTTGGGGTTTGGAGGAATGAGTTTTAGCTCAACTAAAACTTGTTCCGGGAAAAATTTCCACGAACTAAGTTCCAGGAACCACGGTCGTGTGGACAAGGCCTTAGATTCTTTTTTTATGTTTTTTCGATTTTGATATTATTTAAATTTTAAGTTAAATCAAACTAATAATTTTCAAAAATATAATCATCACCCATAATTTGTACCGTGACGCTGGCTTAAACCCCCTCCCTCCTAAGTGTGGGTGGCCCCTTGGATGTAGTTTCTCTGTTAAGGAGATGGGTGATTTTTTGGCGGAAAGGGGTGGAAAATGGAAAGGCAAGATGCACAAAGTATAAAGAATGAAAGAAGGAAAGTTTACCGAGGCACTTTGAGAGGGGGGCAACATGCAACATCTCCATTTTCAAAAGTATAATCACCCATAGTTTGTACCCTGACGCTGGCTGAAACCCCCTCCCTCCTAAGTGTGGGTGGCCCCTTAGATGTTTTTTCACTGTTCAGGATTTGGGTGATTTTTTGGCGGGGATGGGTGGAAAGTGGAAAGGCAAGATGCATAAAGAATAAAGAATGAAAGAAGGAAAGTTTACCGAGGCACTTTGGGAGGGGGGCAACATGCAACATCTCCATTTTCAAAAGTATAATCACCCAGTAAGTTCACAGTGTCAAGGTGCTCAATCCCCCAAGATTTGTGGTTTGAAAGAGAGCAGTGGAGGTTAGGAGTCGTAGAGCGCGAGGGAGTGCTGTAAAGCGACTTATATGTATGTATAATCACCCATAATTTGTACCCTGACTGGCTCAAAGCCCCTCCCTCCTAAGTGTGGGTGACCGCTTGGATGTTTTTTCTCTGTTCAGGACATGGGTGATTTTTTGGCGGGAAGGGGCGGAAAATGGAAAGGCAAGATGCATAAAGAATAAAGAAGGAAAGCTTACCGAGGCACTTTGGGAGGGGGTAGCGCCAGGTGCCGTCTTTGAGGCAAAGCGAGGAGGTGTTGCCCTCTAGAAGCATGCCCTCGTGGCAGCGGAAAATGACGCTGGCTCCGAGCCCAGTCCCGGACTCGATATTCTCCAGCCAGCCGTTGTGCAGAGTCCCCGGGTGACCGCAGTTGATCTCTGATACGGCCCGACAGCAGCCAACAACCAGCAAACAAACGCGTCAAAATAGCCAAGTTTAACAGCCGCGCAAACTACAAGTATTTAGACATTCGATCGTGGAGCCCGAGACAATATCTGAATTACCAATGGAGCATTTCGACGGTGAAAGTCGGCAATCACATAACTCGTTTGCGGTGTCTGAAAATCTTCGCCTCTATGTTATTTATTTAGAGGAGAACAAATTGACATGATTCCTCGAAGTTTTTGCAGAATTATCTTCGCATAGAGAGGAAAAATCACTGGAGTTTTAAAGAATAGCCGTTGAGTAGTTTTCCATTTAAAAAATAAAGTGTGATAGGAAGTCTGCGACGTCGCAAATCGAGTTATGCGATTGCCGACTTACACCGTCGATTTGCAGGTGTCTGAAATATGGTGAATTTCGTTTCCAAGTGGAATCAGCTGAGTAAACTGAACAGGAGAATACTCTTGATTTATAAAGTGAGCAATTAGTAGAGGAGATATGATGAAATTACCAAATCTTCGAAATTACATGTGTTTAAATGGGAAATGCCGCCTGATGACGTCACTAGGCGGTGCTTTTTCTTAATTTTAAACCTATTTTTATACTTTTTCCCACATCAGAAAAAGTCAGCTCTTTAAGCACTTTCAGATGAAGCAATAAACAAATTGCGTGCAAATTCTCCATTAAACAGATGTAATCTCACCTTTGAATGAATCCTATAGTTCAGAAAGGGCACATACCATCGTTCCCCGCATGAAAGAACGTAACTTCATTCCATGGTTGCTAAATTGACTGAGACCATTCAATTATTTATAAGAGTGCACTGCCATACTAAGGAAGAACGCCGCATGAACCTTTAAGCGTTGCCAAATTCTGATTAATAAAACACGAATTTTCGGGTAAACTTTATAATGTTGGTTGTAATTTCACCGAAAGTTCCTGAAAATTTCGAGGGGACATGCTCATAACTTTCCTTAAAAATAAAAATTTTATTGAAGGAAATTTGGCAACTCTCGAATGTTCATACGGCGTTTTTCCTTAGCACGGCAGTGCACATGTGCAGTTTCTGTTCAGAATTTGTTTGATTTTTGCATGAGATTTGACGAAAAATCAGTGATATTTTCAGTTGGAAATGCCCAAGATTCCTCCGATGAAAATGTAATTTGCGAGGAGAAATTTGGCAACATTGTAATGTAGTTACGTTCTTTTGTGAGGAAACGACGCATCGACAACCAGAGGTCAGATAAAATGTGGAAGGAATGAACAGGAAGGAATGAATGGGCCTCTGTACAAGGTATAAATGAAAGCACAACACTGCGTGTTTTCTCTTCAAAATTCCTTAAGAAAAACGAGACACACAACGGAAAGTCTGAAAATCAACTCCTGAGCTAGATATAAGTGCTTTCTATTAACATTGGTGAAATGGCAAAAATACAAATGACATCATTTGTATATTCAAACTTATTAAAGTACTTGTTAATATCTCGTTCAGGAATTTATTTCAAAACTTCTCTTGGTGTGAATTGTTTTCTATGTAACATTTTGAAGAGAAAGCGTGTAACACATGTTGATTTTACAAACACTCTTAGTTTTCTACTCCGTGCCTTAAAGAGGGTACATGGTGCTTCAGATATTGTCCATTGGCTAACGGGAAGTTTCTTGGAATAATAACGACTGATCATGATTTAAAAGTTACCTGGAAATTTTCTTTCGTCAAGTTGGTCAATATTACACTGACTCTTAGCCAATTCGGAGTCAGAACTTTTCAAATATGCCTGGTAAGCTTCCTAATCAGCCAGACTAATTTTAAGTAATGGATGCGGAGCGATTAGAGGTATTATTCCAAGAAGTTCCCCCACAAAAAACAAAAAGCACGTAAGCTACGCAAATAAACATATAAATTCAGCATCCTATCAGTTGTGTCTTTCCAGTTTGCAAATCTTCCACAGGCGAGTTGGAAAATTCAACATAATTTTAAGCGTCCGAATATAGTTCTCGCTCTAAATTTTTGACAGATTTTGGATTTCAAATTTCAACTTACAAAAAAAATGTTATGCCGCATGCAATTATAAGTCGTTCCGATTTATATATTAATGTTCCAACACGGCGCTAGAATGCACATCGGCAAAATGAAGGTTCCAACGAACATTCGATAACACGATCCGATCTGAGGCGCCTTCAATTTTCATGATACTTCACGCCTCATCGTAAAGTTAGTTTAGTGGCCTATCCAACCTAAACTAAACGAGGGACACTAATTTTTTTATGCTTGCACAACTGGACCACGTTTAGCAGAAAGGAACCAAGCCACATCAGCTATTGCCAAACTTCATGGGACATTTTACTGTTTTCCAAGAGAACGTTTGAGCGGATTTAAAAATTATAGGCAAATTGCTTCGTACTAGGCAAAAAATTCACTACAATTTGCACAAATATCCGCACAACTGTTTTTATAAAAAAATTAGAATGCCCAGTTGAATTTGGTACTAATAGCTGATGTGGCTTGGTTCCTTTTTGCTTAACGCGGTCCAACTAGTGTATATGCCGTTCCCGCAATATGCAATTTGACAACGTTAAATGTAGATGGGCTGACTGCGGTTCAATTTGTCTGATTTAAAGAATTGCTGAGAATAAAGCAAATGCAAAAATATTGACTATACTGCAAAATAGAAAGGAGGAGGAAGGAGATTGGGATTTGTTTACACTTTAACAGGTTCTGCCAAAGAAATTTCCCAAAATAATAAAAGCGAATACTTTAAATTGATATGTGTATTGAAGTTTTGAAGCGCACTAGTAAGATTCGGCGATTGAATCAAAAGCAATGAAGCTTCTAAAGATCGGCTGTGTCCGGTCAGTTGATCAGTGCAAGCAAACATCTATATAGTTTCCAATCTCAAATTTGCCGTGTATATACATAAGTTTGATTCGAGTTATGACTGAAATTAAAAAATATCAAGAAATTTCAGTCATTGCACAGGAATTTCTATTCTCATTTTCAGCATAAGATAATTCTGAGAGTTCGAGGAGGGCACTTCTACGACGAGATATTAAATATCATGGCTGAGCCATTTTGAAATACAGTTCGTATGTGATGGTATTATGAAAAAATGCTCTATCTGAATAGAAGGAGAAAGAAAAGAGCATCGACATCTTTAGACGTGTGTGTTCTACATATAAAATCTGATGAAAATTGATTTATATACCTTTAAACGCTTTTGTTCAGCGGGTCTACTTTGCTTACCTCAACAACGCATTTTAGGTATATGATCAGTGATTCCTAACATTTTTGCTCCAGCGGTCTACTCATATTGTTTAGTTTAACTCAATCTACAAATCTTACTTTTTAGGTTAGATTGATTGCAGAAGTAGTTTACTTTTCCAAAGTCTCACTGTAATGGACCACTAGACAGGGTGCGAAGTTCAGCATTGTGATACATGTTTCGTAACTAAAATTTCACGTAGAATACGATGCGCACAACAAAAATTACCTCCATAAACTCCTTACGAAGATACTTGATGATTCTTGATGCGTCAATTCAAACCACCCGCTCATGAAAACTCAATGCTCTACGTGATTCACATCGCGCGCTAAACTTTATCATTACAGTCTCTGCAATATAAAAAACTGGCAACCTCAATCTTGACGCTTTGGCTCAGCTATAGAAAATTGCTAATAGTTTGAAGAACACATAGTGGAAAATGAACATTGCTCGATTGAGAAGCTAGCTGAAACCGTTGTAGTGCGCAATTTGACTCAAGTAGAGCTTTGAGTTTCTTGTGAGCGGGCAGTTCAAATTTTTCGCAACCAATGTGAAATAAACACGTTAATATCTTCTTGAGGAGCTAGTTTCAGTAATTTTCGTCGTGTGAATCGTTTTCAACGTGAAATTCTGGTTAAGAAACATGTATCAGATTGCTTAAATTCGTACCTTGTCTAGTGGTCCATTGGACTTTTCGTTTTTTTCTTTGTAACAAAGCGCTTGATTCTGTCTTATGTATAGAAATTCCGGCAGTATAAACGCACGGGACGTGGAATTCTACGTCTCAAAAATGTCGCCGCGCGTTGCATTAAATTACAGTTGCATTTATTTGGAGAGGAGGATTATTAAATAAAGGTATTTAAAAGAGACGAACTGTCGGGAACTTGCTATGCGATTCGTCCCAGACAGCAGAAAGATTCCTTCTTCTGAACCTCGGTAAAAACGTGAAACATGTGGATGCATTACTCTCCAAGGATGCCACTGGGTCAACCGCAGTTCTTCGTCTCACGTGAATTTTTGCGAGAATCACGATAGTGCAACTGGTTTTCTGTGAGACGAACTTTCAAACTCGAAAAAAGCTCTTAAAGTTTTGAAGTTTGCACAGAGATGACCAATGGCACCATCTTGCTTCACGCAACATTTTATAAGAGAAAATGTACATAAATCGCAAATTCTTGTGACATGCAAGAAACTTCATTTTGCATAATGTCACCTTCTGGCCAAATTATCACAAGCGCCATGCGACGTTAAAAAAAAAATCTGTCTCCATTTCATTTTTTATAGAGAAATTGGATTGCATTTTGCAAAAAGGAACCAAGAGCATTCCAATGTCGCTAAGATTGTGCAATTTTTTTACCTTGCAAATACAAATGATCATCTAAGTAAGTTTCATATTTACTCCCAATAATCTATAAATTCAAGACGAAAACCACTGTAAATTGAATTTTTTGCACGATTTCAGAAGTTTTATTTTAAAGAATGTATGTTGCACAATCTTAGCTACATTGGAATGCTCTTGGTTCCTTTTTGCAAAATGCAATCCATTTGTTCAACGAAGCTTTCCAAAAATTTCACCGTATTTTCTTTGCGTTACAGATAAAATTCAGTGAGTTTTTCAAACAGATTCAACCAACCATTTCTCTGAAAAAAATAAAATGGCGGCGGAAATTTTGAAACGTTGCATGACGCTTTTGATGCTATGACCGGAGGGTGGGGCTATAGCATGGCTCCAGTAGCAAGGCGTGAATGATCGAATATAACTATCGATATTTACCCATTTGAAGCTGTGGTAAAGAATCGATTATTGAGGTGTTCGTTGCGAACATCCTGTTTATCGATCCTTTACCATAGGTTTACATGTCAAATTAATCGATATATCAGGCATGAATGATCGATTATCGATATTTACCCATTTGAAGCTATGGTAAAGAATCGATTATTGAGGTGTTTGTTGCGAGCACCCTGTTTATCGATCCTTTACCATATGTTTAAATGGCAGATCGATCGGTATATCGCAAATGGCGAAGGATGAAAATTGTTCTTGAAGCGTCAGCGGTTGTAGACTGGCAGCCAGCCCACATTTCACTGCTTGATGATGTCGGAGTCAAATAATAGTCCAGTGACACCGAAAGACATTACAGTAATTCATATCCGCTTTGGATGGGAGCCAAAAGTTCGAGGGCCGATCACACATCGCGGTTTATTTTTCCATGTTATCGTTAACGGAGCTTCCTCTCTACCCGAGACTTAAAATTTTATGGCCTCTCCGCCGTCGGTTATGAAGACATTCTGAAAAGTCGTGTAGTCTCAGTGAAAAATAAAAAGAGCTGCTTGGAAAGCCTCTCACTAGATGGCGCAAGTTCACTTGCCGCCAACGACCGCTTGCCCAAGTCTCGGGGTGGTTTTCACGACCTCTTCGAGCTTGGTATGAAAAACATAAGGAGTCTGCGGTTCCTTCCCAAGAAATCGTAGCTAGCGTCGTCGTCCCGAACAGTGTATCTCTTCAAGGAACAAATTATGCTCGAATGAACTTTTTCCCTCTGTATTGAGTTTTCCGGTTATCAGGATTTAAACGCACGTTGGCTGCATTTCCAACGTACTGTCGAAAAATAAAGGGGTCAGCGGGCTGACTGTTGAAATCGATACACAGCTATAGGAAACGAGGACAAATGTACATGAAGGGATCCTATTGGTGGAACTGCGGGTGGTTGCAATGAACAAATTAGGAAGGTAACAGACTAACTAACGGCAACCCACGAGGGACCCCTTAGTAAGTCCATTAGTTTCTCCCTTAGTCTATAAGAACCGCACTCATTTTGACCAATAGGATTGCTCCTTACTCCTTCTGTCTTCTTTGTCTATAGCTTTGTCTATCAGTTCCAACAATCAACCCGCTGATGGACCAATAAACACGACGAGGGCTACAGCACTTACACATATGTTTCCTCATTACGTTTTCATGCAGAATAATTTATATGGCTGGAGAAAGAAAGGGACCAAGGGCAGAGTATTGCACATTATATTCGGGCCAGCGCAGCCAAAACGCCTGCAATTTATTGTATATGCAACACAGACATCCCACGAGCACGAATAGTTGCATCCAAATTGTAGCCACTCGTCTCATGTTGGCCTCGTTTCAATATAAGTCCGATCCAACTTTGCAGACCTCCTTTCATACCTCATTTTTAAATTGGAAAACTTGTCAACTTGATATCTTGAAAACTTTCTCGAGTTTTCCTCCTTATTAGCAGAATATTGCAGAGAAATTTCAAATAATCTAGCTCACTTGTTTTTCTTCCAAAAAATAAAATAGGACCAGAAATGTTTTAACTGCGCCATGAAGATACGTGATATTACACTTTAATCATCTATACTGCAACTCTACTCTAAACATTAAAGTACATTTTGTGTGACACTTTGTTCACACAAGTGCGAATGTTTTGCTTTAAAATTGTTGCATGATTTTTTTCGAAATTCAATCTTAGCCTACGCAAACTCCCAGAGAAAATCTTACTGACTATTTCGCAAATCAACATCTCATTGGAAAAAATTCGGCAACATTTAAATGCTAATGCTACTTACGATCATTCTGGCTTTCTTTGTTATTGAAATTCACCCATTCCTTGAAATTTATATATAATAAAATTTGGAATTCTATGCATTTCAATCTTCAAAATTTCTTGTGGCCTCCTCCCATCGCAAAAGGTGGCAACATGGAATTCCCTCCCGGAACTCGTGGAATCTCCGTCTTCATCAACTTTATTCGCTATTCAATAAAATCTGGAGTTTAATCTCCCTTCAAAAACGCTCATCGCATACTAATAGGAATCACGCGGGGAGAAGAAACGGAAGGGAAACTGTCGTCCTGAGACCTCTTTAATTTCCAGGAATTCCGTATTAGCTAACGGTAAACGAATCCTCCTTGTTGCACCCGTGTTTTCTTTCCTCTTATTTCTTTTTCTCTTTCTTTTTTTGTGGAATGGTGGGCTGAAAATGTTCCCTCTGAGGGTTCTTCCAGGGAATAGAAACCAAATATTGATTCTTGGTTCCGGTCTTCCTGACTTGTTTTAAAATCGGGAGCCCCCCTCCTCCCCCACCCCCGTGCAGTAATCTGCGGAAACGATTTTAAGGGTAATAAACGCTTTGTCCCGAATCCAAAAAAGATTTTTATTCCACAGTTGCGTGAGGATTTCGGCTCCAAATTTGCAATAATGGCCAAACTTTGCGCGAGAAATACGACGGGCTGATTATTGAGAGTAATAGACGAAACGATAGACGAAGGAGATAGAGAGAAAATGGAGTGATCCTATTGGTTACAACCGGTTGGTCTTACAGTCTGAGAGGGAAAATGATGGACTAAGTATAGGATCTCCCGTGGGTTGCCGTTAGTTAGTCTATTACTTACCTCATTTGTCTGGTGCATTCACCCGCTTTCACCAATTGGATCGGATCATTTTTCCTTTGACTTCTTTGTCTATAGCTTTGCCTTTCAATTTTTATGACTAACCCGCAGTTCTGGCTTTCAATCTAATTGAGCTAGGTTCTCAATCATATACATCGAATGTCGATTCAGTTAAGCAAAACTTTTGTTTGTCGTTCCAAGACTCGTATTAGCACCGAATATTTCAGCTGTTTGAACCGAAATTCTGGCATTAGAACCAAAATTTCCGGTGCCGGATCAGAAACTTATACTTCTATATGTTTAGAAAAAAATGATTTTTTTTTTAAATATACACAAAGATCAAGATGAATCGCAAAATAGATTCAAAACATTTAACGAGCTTTTTTCCCCCCATTTTTTTCCATTTTGTAAGAAAGGGTGTATTTGCATCGCCTTTGGTCAAACCGGATTGCGGCAACTGAGTAAGAGACAACTGCGACCTGACTGTTTAAATTTTGTGTGTGTCGCCCGGTTAAGACAAGATTAAGGAGAAATGAGTTCTATGATTGGTCAGCTTTATCCTCCGTCCTCTTTTTCTCGCCCATAAATGACGGATTTAACCAGGATTTGACGACATAGTATCGGCAACTTAAGAGATGCCGTTAGCTTCTCGATGCTTACATCATTTATCGACGAGAAAAAGAGGACGAAGGATAAAGCTGACAAATCACAGAACTTAATCTTGTCTTAACCGGTCAACAAACACAAAATTTCAACAATTGGGCCGCTGATTGGGTGGGAATCAGTGGCGTGGCGTGCTTTTCCGATCTATCGATATTTCCCACCTTGAAGCTGTGGTAAATAATCGATTATTAAGGTGTTCGGTGCGAACACCTTGCCTACCGATACTTTTCCATAGGTTTATATGGTCGATCAATCAATATATAGCAAATCACGCCACGCCACTGGTGGGAATTTTGAAATCCCCGATATGGTTCCCAAAATTGGATAAGTGTGGACTAAAAAGCAGCGTGTGATCTTACCTTGGCACTTGGGCATGGAGCCGGACCAGCGTTTATCGGGTCCGCAGCGGCGGGTGAGATTGCCGGAGAGGGTGTAGCCGTGGCGGCACTCGTAGGAGACGATCGAGTTATACGAGGTCGAAGTGAAGATAGCTTTCCCGTTCACCGGGTTCTCAGGCTCTGGGCACTGAACGGCTGTAACCACAGTTGAAGGAAACCAAAGACAAAAAGTATCTGCTCTCGTCCAATCACACTCACTTGGATTGAATGGGTAATGGGTCACGAAATCGGGGTTTGATGCTTGATTCTTATACATTAGCTGAAAATAATAAGATCTGTCTGAAAAGCCATTTTCTACGTTCAATGGGCCTGTTGCAAACTTTTGATAGAGCGAAAAAAAGAGTTATTCCTCGTAAAACATGTCTCAAAAAGCACGATGAGCGCATTGGCAAATTTTGAAATGCACTTCTAACTTAACAATCTGGAACTAATATTGAACGTAGAAAGTTGCTGTTTCGGATAATCTTAATAATTCCAGCTGATCTACAGGAGTCGAAGCATCAAAGCACGATTCTGTGGCCAGCGCAACGGATCCATTATCGAAATAGCTCCAGCGCAGCGTCAGCAACGAAAATTCGAAAAATTACAATGGAAACTATTTTAAACGACTATTTTAAAATCTTAGAGCTCAGAAACGTTATATGTATTAGGAAGAAATTTTACATCGCACTTTTCATACGTTATCAATACTTAAGAGTTGTAATTTTATGAGTACATTTTTTGGAGGACAACATTGATTGCAACAGTACAATCTTTATTTACCATAAAATTTTGCTCGGATCGATGCCACATTTCTGAGATATTTGGACTGGATTTATTAATAAATTTAAAAAACTCACTGTAATTCTACCTTGCTAAAGAAGAGCACCGTATGAACATTCGAGAGTTGTCAAATTTCTCCGTATGGAACATGTATTCATGACAAAATGTATTTTTTCCTTAAAATTTCCAGATATTTTAGATTGAACTGTGAATAAAATAGTCTGACAAATTTAAAGAAAAATATTTACAACCGCCTCCATAAATTCGTATTTTATCAGAGGAAATTTGACATTATATCAAGGTTCATACGGCGTTTTTCCTTATGTCGCAATCACACGCTGAATATGGAAGCTGAATGTGGCTTGAATGTGGAAGTCATCGGCCTGATGCCTGAATTTTGAGACGCGCAAAATTCAGCGACGATTCTCAGCAACCATCGGACTAATGTTGGATTTGTCTGAGCTATTCGAATAGATTTAACACACACCTGGATGAAAATAACTCGAATTTGCGAAATTTCAGCCGTTGGGCGATGACTGTTGACTTCCACATTCAGCTGCTATATTCAGGGTTTGATTCCGGCATTAGCATGGCAGAATTGGCTCGTTTTAAAAACAACGCATGTGCATGTAGGAGTACGCACTTCAATTATACTTACGCACACATGTGGGAAGCTCACGAGGGAACCAGGTTCCATCAGCCTGACAGATGGTGTCCTGGCGGCCGACCAGTTCGAACCCCTCCACACAGTGATAGTTGACCCTGCACCCGAAAGTGTAACATTCCTGAGGATACCACCCGTTCGTGATCCTGGGTGGTGGACCGCAAGACCGAGCTGCAACATTCAAGAGAGAAGATCAAATGCGGAAAAATCCGACGAGAATGCGGATCATGCGATCAACTAAAAAGTATGGTTTCTTTTCGGTGGGAATTTGGTAAAATTGGCATATGACAATGGGCCTGTTGCGAACTTTTTCTAGAGAAAAAATAAGAGCTTTCATAAGCTTTTAGTCACATTCAGCTGAATCTGAGACTAATTAAGAAAAATAAAACCCGAAACAAAACTCGGGAACAAAATAAAAAGCGATGTCAACACACTAATCAACATTAGCTGAGCATGAATTGGTTTTGAAAATGAACAAAACATGAATGCATATCTTGATTGCAAGGATAGATACTTTTGAAAAAGCCAATATAGCATACTAAACCTCCGCTAACTTGGATTTTAGGATTCGAAAATTCGACTTCCAATTCGAGTTGCCCTTTAAAAACTACCCCACGATACCGCGTTTCACAAAAATCTATCAAACAGGGTCCGAGATAGCGTCATCATGGATTTTGGAATTTTGAAAAACGGACTAAAAATTCGAGTTTCCCGTCAAAATATACCCACTTCCACCAAAAAGCGGTGTCAACACATCAGTCAATATCAGCTGAGCGTAAATTGGTTTTGAAAATTAACGAAAAATGAATGTATATCTTGATTGCAAGGATGGATACTTTTGAAATAGCCAATATAGCACACTAAGCCTCCGCTAAGTTGGATTTTAGGATTCGAAAACTCGACTTCCAATTCGAGATGCCCGTTAAAAAGTATCCCATAATACCGCGTTTCACAAAAATCTATCAAACAGGGTCCGAGATAGTGTCATCTTGGATTTTGGAATTTTGAAAATTAGAAAAATTCGAGTTTCTCTACAAAAAGTACCCACTTCTACCGAGTCTCTCAAAAATCGATTGAACAGAGGCCGAGCTCACTGCAGTGCAGCTTCAGATCAAGGAGGTTGGGCATTCGCACTGGTGATACAAATATATCAACTCGGGTGTGTTGCACAGTATCAAGCTCAATTGAAGGCGTTTTTCACGCGTTCAGTGCAGAACGACCAGACGTGACGATGAACATTGATATGGGCATGACCTAAAATGAAGAGCTATTGCTTCCCAAAATCCAGTTCTATGAGGGAGGAGAGAAAGGAGTAGGGTAGGAGTAGAATTTTTTTTGGTCGTTCATTTGTCGAAGCGCCCTCTGGGGGTTGGGCCGCGTAGCGGTCGGGGGGCGTAGCCCCCTAGTTTTCAATGAGAGGCAACTCTTATTTTTGCTCTAGCAAAAGTTTGCAACAGGATTGCCTTCCACCACTAGAATGCGGTCCTCCATTCATGGACGCAAGACCGCTGGAATGTGGTCCCGGACGTTACCCTCTCGGATTTTCATGTGAAAATCCTCTCAGAGGAATGTTATATCGCCATGATGCGGTCTTGCGTTCATCGGCGGAAGACCGCATATGGGATTTCGTTATTCGCACATTGGTTGACCCAATGTGCCGTATATCCCTGCATTTAAGGAACTTTGTGGACTGTGGTAAATGCAGCTTTTTTAAAGCATTTCTTTTAGATACCAGGTGCCTCTGGGTGGGTGTTCACAAGTAGATCCGATTTTGTTACGTAGGGCCTTACTAATCACTAGGTCGTTGTTGGGTCATAGAAAGCAGAGCCGCTAAAATGCGGTCTTGCGTGGCCATTCGTATGAGCATTACTCATTGAAAAGAAGAACAATTGGACGTTATTTTACAATTAGGAACTATAATTTCTGGCTTATCCGTAAAAACACTGATATGTGAATGGAAACTGATGGTACATACGTCGTTTCTATACTGAGCCAGATATTATAGTTCCAATTTGCAAAATGTAGTCCAATTCATGTTTTGCGTGTGTGCTTCTTGCCTACAGAGTAATATGCAGGCGTTTGAAAGATTGATGATTATCCTATTATTTTACGCTTTGCCGGTACATATCGTAAAAGTAGCTTAGAGGATAAGGCGCATAAGTGCAGTTGTTGAACAGAGATGTTAATGATGTCAAATAAAGCTGGTTTTAAAATATTGTCTGTGAATAACTAACTACTTAAATCCAATTTTTAAACATCAAAAAGTGAGTTTTAACTTTCGTTCCGCCTTTAGACCCCATGTAATTTTGAAACTTGATACACGTTTTTCTCGAGATAGCAAAAATTGTGGTGATGCGACCTGTCCTCAAAGCTCTTGATCTAGGCTTTGTTGCTTATATTTCTGCTTTGAACGCTGATCTTCAAGTTGCACTACTATGAGTCGCGGCAGAGACAAACTCTTTGAGTAGGGGTAGACGCAAACCCCTAACGAGAAAAATAAGACCTCTAATAGAATGATTCACGAGGGTGTGGACGGTGAAAATTGTGTCGGAATCGGTTTCGCCCTCGAGTGCCGTGTCGTGGGGACGTAAGTGGCATTAAAGGATCCCCCAAATTCAGAACTCATTAGCGGAAGTTTCGAAAAATATCCCAGGGTACTGTGGGGGTTTAATTTGTCGGGAAATTAATAATTCTCTCGCAACAGGTGTTCTGATTTATTGCGCCCCCCTTTCATCCCTCGCGCCTTCGTCCTCTCTCGTTTTCAGGATACTGCGAATTTGCAGTCGGCGCGGCGTTGTCGCCAACGCTTACAGCTTTTTCAGTGAAATTCGCGGAAAATTCCACGGTAAACTATGATTTCACCACGAATCTGCATACGGAACCATTTACTACGGATTTCTGTGGATTTCTTTTAAATCTACTCTGTTTCTATGAATTTTTACCACGTACACTGGAAAAAACACATTGGATCTACAGTACAGATTCTTGAAAACATTCACAAGAAAAAGGACTCTTGATTCAATCAGATTTAAGCTTGGATCAAAAGGAAATCCGCTCAAATGCTTGGTTCTTGATTTAAGCTTAAATCTGGTTGAATTAAGAGTATTTTTTCTTGTCGATGTTTTTAAGAGTCTGGACTCTAGATCCAATGTGTTTTTTTTCCAGTGTATCCTTTACTTTTAACGATTGTTGTATTTTATAATATTTATAAGTTTTAATGTACTCGATACTAGACGGCCAGACAAGCAGGGTCATGCCCTTGCGCGGAAGAAGAAGAAGAAGAAGAAGAGGAGGAGGAGGAGGAGGAGGAGGAGGAGGAAGAAGTAGAAGTAGAAGAAGAGGAAAAAGTAGAGGAAGAAGAAGATGATGAAGAAGTAGAAGAAGAAGATTCCCTTTCCCATTATGTGCGATGTTCAGGAATGGACCGAGTTTACGAGTAGAAATGCACCAAATTGCATCGAGCTCGTATTGCCATTCCGGTAGTTCAAATTTCTGCTCCTATTATAGAACAAAAATTACTTGCCATGCTCATCGATGCTAGATTTCTCGCGTTTTTCGAGATTTGTTGATATTTCGGACCTTTTTGTAAGGAATTTGGAGCGTCGATTTTGTAACACCATAAACGAGATAGACGTTGTTGTAGTTTTAACGGTGGTATGGTTCCTTCATTCATTTTGTAGCTCAATTCTTGGAACTTGCCAAAGTTTAAACCACGCCTGTAAAGCAGCTCATTTGGTCAGCGCTCATCAAAAAGGAACCGTGTATGAAAGTACTCAAAAAACACATAACTACACAAACATATCAATGACAGATCCGCTGTTATTTAAATAAACCAAACACGTCAGTCCTTTTTGATGATCGCAGTCTATTTATTCCACACTGCATGACGTATACTGATATCAAAAAGACGCTGCAAGGGCGTCTCTCGCCCATGGATGCAAGATCGTGCTGGAAACTATCGTTTCTCCCATGCACCTTAATGCAAAGAATGCAAATCTCGCAATGCAATCTGACAACCTTGATACACCATAATTGCCTAATAGCACTGAAATCACCCATATCCCCCATGAACTTTAAGGAGCATAAAAGGGATTTTACTATACAATTTTGCAGTCTGTTTTAGAGAGACGACTGAAAAGCCTCGGTTTTTCGGCTACCTTTGCCCCCGCTGAGTTCGCTGAAAAGCGCAGTCCCGTGCCGAGGATTAAAGCAAAAACGACGGATGATCGTAACATTTCCATGCGATTCACGCGGTTTATTTTTAGCGTGACCTAATCACTGAGCTGGACAGGAGCTTCTACATTGCCCCCTTGCATTTTGGGATTCGAATATTTCGAGTCATTTCTAAGCTCAAAGCTTTCAAGGCAAAGTTCCGTCAAAATATTCCTTAACCAATTGAAAATAAAACTCAAAAATAAAGCCTGATATAGTCTAAAATAATTTTTCGAAGAAAATGTTTAATTTTATTTTGCTTAAATTTTTGTAATTGTTGTATAAATTGTAAATTTGACTTATGCCAGAGCTTTTTACTATAGGCTGTATGTATCATCAATAAATCTATCTATTCAAGATTTCTATAATTATCGTGTTAAAAATTATTATAACATGAGGATATCAGCCGGAACGAGTAGAAGCTGCATTATTCATGATCCTAGATCTATCTATCAAAGGCTAAATTCAGTTGAATCTGAGACGTTTATTCATGAAAATTAAGAAAAAAGAAAACAAAAAAATTGCCGGAAACTAAATAAAAAGCAGTGTCGACACATCAGTCGGTATAAGTTGGTTTTGAAAATGAACAAAAAATTAAAGCATATCTTGATTGCGGAGATAGATACTTTTGAAAAAGCAAAAATAGCACTGTAGGCCACCACCATCTTGGATTTTGGGATTTGAAAATTTGACTTAAAATTCGAGTTCCCGTCAAAAAGTACCACCTATATGACATCGCGCTTCACAAAAACCTGTCAAACAGGAGTCGAGATGGCGTCGTCTTGGATTTTGGAATTTTGAAAATTGGACTGAAAATCCGAGTTTCCCGTAAATTAATACCCTTTTTTACCGAATTTCACAAAAATCGATGGAAAAGAGGCCGAAATCACTGCGGCGTAGCTTCAGCGTGAGGAGGTTGGGTCTCGCACTGATGATACAAATATATCAACTCGGGTGTGTTGCACAGTATCAGGCTCAATTGAAGGCGTTTTTCCTGCGTTCAGTGGACAGCAATCAGACGAGACGTCGCGTCGCGACGATGAAGAGTGATTCGGGCATGACCTAAGATGAAGAGCTGGTGCTTCCCAAGATCCGGTTCGATGAGGGAGAGGGAAGAATCAAAGAAGGAGATGAAGGGGGGAATTTCACAGAAATATACAAGTAGCAAAATCGACATAATTTTGATGGGAATTTGAAAAAAAAAAGTGTTGTGGGAACGCTTAAGTCTTTACAGGCTTAAGTTCCCACATTCGGCTCCATAGATGAGGCGTGCTTTGCGTCATGGCTTTTCGTGAGAATTCACGGATTTCCAGGGCCAGCGATAGAGATAGGTCCGTCGGAAGTTGGCGCTTGTTTATGTCTAAACGTGAAGCTTCAGTGTCGCGGAAGTGCACACGTTTTGACATAAAAAGATTCGCACAAGATCGCATGGGCGAGATCAGTCACGAGGAATAGATTCCCGGATGGTCCGGTCAGTCCCCCGTGAGAGACCAGTCAAGTTTTAGAATTGTCAGTTTTCAGAGTGTTAAGATGTAAGATTTTATTGTGATTATTATATGTTATACGAGAGTTATATGTGGTCCGAGTCATTTTCCTGACCTCCCCGCAACAAAAGGGGTTTTGCTATTTATATACGGATTTTCTACTAAGGAGCATCGTTTTAGAGGTATTTCCATTCTCATACGCGTTAAATTGCGACCCAGTCGGTCGAGTGGTCAAGACAGTTTTGCACATTGGCTTAAAAAATATCAGACGAAGGTAAAGCTACCAAAATTTCCTCGGGATGGGCCTGTTGCAAACTTTTGCTAGAGCAAATTAAGAGTTGTTTCTATCAGTAAATATCTCCAAAATCACGATGAGCGCATCGGGAAAGTCTGAAATGTACCCCTAACTTCACACTCTGCGTAAGAAATTTGCGTTTTTTTGAGCTTGCCGCTTCAAAAGCGATATTACGGCACAGGTGAACATTTCGTCAGAGCCGTTACGTTTTTAGTTTAAGAGCAAAAATTTTCAAATCGATTTTATTTTCCAGGAGCTTGACCGAAGTTTTTCGTTTAGGGCTTAAATTAACGTGTTAACGTCCTACTTTAAGGTTCCGAAGGAAAATTGCTGGTAATATGTTTCTTTATTTAACTTTGGTTCAAACGAACCGTGTGCGATGTAGCTTCAGCGTAAGAAGGTTGGGTTCGCACTGATGATACAAATATATCAACTCGGGTGTGTTGCACAGTATCAGGCTCAATTGAAGGCGTTTCTTACGCGTTCAGTGAACAACGATCAGAAGAGACGTCGCGTCGCGATGATAAATAAGAATGCGGGCATGGCTTAAGTTGAAGAGTTGTTGCTGCCCAAAATACGGCTCGATGAGGGGGAGGGAAGGGAGAGAGAAGAGGGAGGGAAAATTTTCATAGTTTTTTCAAAAATATGCCTCTTTTAAGGCCTTATAAGTACGTGAAAATTACCGTAATATCGCAAAATCCATGTGATTTTAACGGCAGTTTGACGAAAAGAAAGGGATTTTGCTACTTACAAACGCCTTTTCTGTTTACAAACCCCGTTTTGGAGGCTTTCTTTCCCATTTTCATACGCGAGAGATCGCGACCCGCCCGGTCGTATGGTCTAGAAATTTTTGCACCTAAGGCTTAAAAAATATCAGACGAAGGTAATGATACCAAAATTTCCTCGGATTCTTAGTGATTGAAACCTATTTTTTTCGACTGCGTGATAAAGAAAACACCAATACTACCGTGCTAAGGAAGAGCTCTATATGAACATTCGAGGGTTGCCAAATTTCCTCCGATAAAATATTCATTTTTGAAGAATGCGATAGATAATTATTCTTGTTTTCAGGTAATTTAGCAAAGACTTCCAAAAGCGCAACACCCAAAAGCGCTTTTATCCAAAAAACGCCAAAAGTTCTTTTACGCTTTTGGAAATTTGCGCTTTTAGATAGTTACCTAATTTGGATCTGATTACAAATAATATTCTTCAACAAATTCGAAAGAAAATATTCAAACATATCCCTGGAAAGTCTCATTCTCATAGGCAGTCTCATTTACCAATTCCACTATGTAAAGCCGTTTGCTGGTTTTTATTTCAATTTCTTTTTTATTTTTAATTCTATTTTAGCGGTTGATAATGGTGCCGTAAGGTACCGAAACGTCCTGCCTTTGTATTTTGCATTGTTTCCGCATTTTCCTGTGTCTTCGATTATCCCTGGAAATTGATGCTTTCTGGAGGGAAATTTGGCAACGTCTGAAGGCTCATACGACGTTTCTCCTTAGCACGGCAGTGTTTCAGCCAGAGTTCTGATTAATTGATGCACATAATACTCACGTTTGCAGGAGATATCGGGTCCGAACCAAGACGCGGTGGCGCCCCCGATGGCGAGGCACTTGGCCTGCGAGAATCCGTCGGTGTCGTAGCCGTGCTGACACTGGTACTGGATCGTCACGTCCACGTCGAACGTCGTCTGCTCCGGGAACCCGTTGTGCCGCGCGTTCTCGATCTCCGGAGGCGCGTGGCAAAACACTGGAAAATACAAATTAAATCACACAAATAAATAATTAGCCAAATCACAGACAGAACGTAGAATGTCGATGGCTGAAGTGCGAAACAACTGAGGGTATGGATTCGAGTGACATGAGTCGATCGTAAAATAAAAACGTGAATTGATGGACGTAAACAGATCGACACCGATTCGATCGACAAATTATTGAAAAACCGGTGTCGATTCGTTGTGGTCTGGTTACACGCTCAAATTTCCGTCCAAATCCGATCAAAATGATGACCAAAATGGCGGTCAAGAGTTATCTAGATTGATGAGTAAAATTAATTAAAACAGCGTGTTGATTGAAATAAGCATAAAATAAGCACGGTTGTGTGGAAATCAGATGAAGGATGAGCCCCACAGCTCCATCATCTACCATCAAATTTTTGCAGGCCGCAGAAATTTGATGGTAGATGGTGCGCAACAGTCACCATTTGATCGGACATTGATGGAAATTTGAGCGTGTAACCAGCACATTAGACATGAATCGAACGAGAATAAATAGACCGTACTTGATACATCAAATAGGTGAGATTGTATCGATTTCGATTGGTTCAGCATGTAAAAATAGCTTTAAAAGTCAATTTAGAAATCCGAGGCAACGGGTCTCTCGTATTCGAATTTTTATTCTTTCGAGTACCAAATGGCAATGGAAAATGAAGTTATTTGGAATTTTCTCATTTTTAGAATTTCAAAATTTAATGCAAATTACGGCAGTTTTAAAGAATTGCCGTTGATCAGTTTTCCGTTTAAAAAATAAAGTATGCCGGAAGTCTGCGACGTCGCAAACCAAGATAGGTGGTTGCGGAATTACACCGTTGATATAGGTATTTCGTCGCTCTCTTGAGGTAAGAGCGCACCTCGATTTCGTGGTGAACCCTATTTTACATCAGAATCCATGCTTTCTGTGGCTCAGATTGAAACACCGAGATACGCCGTTCGGTCGGGGAAGCAACGATTTTTGCAATATCATTGCACCAAAATGAGCATCCTCGGGGTGCAATGACATTGCAATCCGGCCGTAGGTTTCACAGGAACCATTTTAACGACCCTCTCACCTCGGCGCCCCCCTCTTATCCCGTTTTTTTCGGAATCCTCTCGAGTCTCGTTAACACGCATCCCCCTGATCCTGTTCTGCCGTGCTAAGGAAAAACATCGTTAGAGCCTTCAGGCGTTGCCAAATTTCCTTCAATAAATCACGAATATTCCGGAAAATTTGTAAACGTTTTTCCTCCAATTTTTCAGATAATTTTGTTCGCAATCTCACCTAAATTTCCTGAAAATTCCAAGGAAAAACATCCATGGCTTTCTTCAGAAATAAACATTTTATCGCAGGAAATTTGGCAACTTTGGGATGTTCATACGGCGTTCCTCCTTAGGACGGTCCTGTTCGCCTGCGAGTGGCAGGCACTCGACTCGAATCGAGCCATTCTCTGTCTCCTCCCCCTCCCCCTCTCCCTCCCCCTGCCCCCTCCCTCCCCCTCCCGCCCGCGAAAAAGCTCCCGATTTTCAAATTTCGCCAACCCGGTCCCGGCGTGATATAAGCCCGGTGAAATGAGGTTCGTTGCGCTCTCATTAGGGACTGATCTGAATGATGCGCTATTGGCACATCGGGCGAGATTCAATGGCAACGCGGTGCATGAAACAATGGAGATGGAAAACATCTGAATCGACCCGAAATGATGATATAGAATTAACAACCTTGAATGGCCCGCGTTTAACAGAAAGGAACCAAGGCACAGCAGCTTTTGCCAAATTTAACCGAGCAATTTAATTTTTTACAAGAGAACGATTGTGCGGATTTTTTTTGAAAGTTTTAAGGGATTTGCTTCGTACTATGCAGAAAATTTACTAAAATTTACAAAAAAATCCGCACAACCGTTATCATGTAAAAATTATTTGCTAAATTACATTTGGCTTTAGCTGATGTAGCTTGGTTCCTTTCTGCTTAACGCGGTCATAATGGCACTTAGGCCGCAAAAAATAAAACATAGGAAACCGGGATGTTTCGCAGCCGCTACAAGCTCATTTTCGACGCTATGTAGTCAGGTGCTTTCATGGATGAGCCTGAAATTGTAGTTTATAATTCCAAAATTTAGTATCTAAGTACTACGGAGAACTAAACTTTAGTTGCCATGGAAATGCAACACCTGGTGAGCGCTATCAGATGTTATTCAAAGATTGTGCGAGCTGCTCTTCACTGTAAAAAAAACATAAATGTCTTCGCTTCGCGGACATTTAATTGGAGGAAATTTCTCTAAGCTTTGGTCTTATTTTTATGACGAGAGTTGGACTAATTACATTTTGCAATTACGTTAAACAAAGTCTGGCGCGGTTTTGTAACAACGTGTGAGCCGTTAGTTTCTCTATGCACATAAGTGCTTATACGAACTATCTAGACATTGAGAATCCTAATTGTAAAATAGTCAAGTTGTTATTCCCAGAGTGCCTGGATCCCGGTTCTCGATAGACGAGAGAAACAATAGATCGTATTCGATAGTGGTTTGATATATCGTTTGGTTCAATACAATAGAACATAACTGCAAACAAAAGTTTTAGGATTTAAGGTAGAGAAGCTGAAGAAGAGAAAATTCCAAACAATTACACTTTTCATTGCCATGCGGCACTCATAAGAATCAAAAATCTATCCAAAAAACCCATTCACACGGATTACTCGAGTGACTTTTGAGGCTATGTTTACATGTTGAACCAATCGATAGGTATCGATAAAAATATCGATACAATCTCACCTATTCGATGTATCGAATACGATCCATCACACGATGTTAGCAACATCTGCGGGTCGATTATTGAAATTTATAGACAAAGCTACGGACAAAGAAGGCATAAGGAGTATAGAGCGATCCTATTGGTTGGAATGGATGGTTTCTATAGACTAAGGGAATAAATGATGGACTAACTATCGGGTCTCTCGTGGGTTGCCGTTAGTTAGTCTATTATACCTACGCCTTTTGTCCATTGAAACCACCCGCTTCCACCAATAGGATCCCTCCATATCCTTATTGTCTTCTTTGTCTATTGCTTTGTCTATCAATTTCAACAATCAGCCCGCTGATGGCAATTAGCAGGTTTTCAATTTTCGCTCTTCACACTGAAAAAAAATTCTCGGCGTTTTTACCAAGGTCCGTTGGTACCTTTACCATCTCATTTTTTTTACCAATTATTGGTAATTTTACCAAGGCAGACTGGTAATCTTACCTAAAAACCGGTATTTTTACTGTTTTCTTCAGGTAAGAATACCACTTTTATCGGTAATCAATTCCCGGTAATTGTGCCATTTTATCTCGGTAAATCTGCCACAGTCGATAAAAAAATTGGCGTTTTTACCAAGGTCCAGTAAAATTACCGAGATAGTTCAATAATTTTACCGAGATTTCTCGATAAAATTACCAATTCCATAAATGGTAATTTTACCGAGAAAAAACTGGGATCAAAAGAACCCTGAATTCTTGGTAATTTAACCTTTTTCTTAGTAAATACACCGAGATTTTATTTTCAGTGCAGATCGTCGCTCCTCTGACGTAAGGGTGTATCTCGATTTCAGCATGAACCCTAAATAGCGTGGATTAACAAGTAAAACAGGAGTCACGTGGCAATTGAAATACACCCTCACGTCAGAAGAGCGACGAGAGAGAGGGCTGCACGGACATGGTAACACTCCCCGTAGGTACTCCAGGTCGCACAAAAAATCGCTTCTTTACACTTCAATCAGGCAACGTCATCATTGAATAGCTGACTATGAGGGGCGCGGGGGGCACTGCGCTATTTAAATCCGCAATACGTTTTATTTAAGCCATCGACCTGCGCCTCAAACTTACCCCTCCGCTGCACCCCCGGCCACCCCCGCCCGGGTTTCGATTTCCCGGCGATGTAGACGCTAATAGTGCTGCCGCTTTGATGGATTTCTCGTTTTCGATGACGTGAAATGATCGGATTTTCGTCGAGAACGGCCGCCGGCGCACAGAAGAAACAAGTCAACGAGAGAGCTCGAATGGATCGCATTTAGCAAAAAGAAAACAGCGCAATTATGATGTTTTCAAAATCGTGCAGATTCTCCTTTGCTTTTAAAAATACATGATATATGTACAGTTTTAAAATTTACACGATTACTTTCCTTAAAAATGAACAATTTTTTGGTGGGAAGCCAAAATTATTTGCTAATCTGGGAGATTTTTTAGATAATTATGAAGAAGCAACGTTTTTCCAACACTGTTTTAGCGCTGGTTCCTTTTTGCTAAATGCGATCCAAATATGATGTGGAAACTTCAAAAGCTCATCTCTTCGGCAGTTCAAAATGTAGATATTTAAGGGTGACTCCGTTGATTTTTCCGTAGAAAATTTCTACTGAAACTACCCCTTTTTTAAGGGGGACGTGCTTTCACCCAAGTTTGCTTATACTCCAATCCGTTGAGGTCTGAATCTTGTCCCTTGCACGGGAAAAAAGCGTGAGGGGCTTTTTTCTAAAATAGGAATACGCATAAAGCAAAACGGAACCAGCGCGATTACAGTGTATTCAAAATCGTGCAACTTCCTCTTTTCGTTTAAAAATACTTAAAAATGTGCAGTATTCATTTACACAACTATGTTTCTAAAAAATGAACAATTTTTCGGCGGTAAGAGAAAACTGTTTCCTGTTTCAGAAGATTTTTTTAGAATATTGTGATGGAGCAACATTTTTAAAACACTGATGTAATCACGCTTGTTCCTTTTTTCTAAATGCGATCCAATTGAGGTATCTGGTATTACTCCAATTTGTTGGATGGCATGGACATTTCTAATTAATGGTGGTAGTTCCGCAACACTTGGGTTGCAACCTAATTTATTAGGGTGCCACCACAATTAATTGGGATACTACCGCTTTAATTTGATTACTACAGGTTTAATTTCACGGAAAAAATGGAAGTGCTGATTTAACAATTTTGTAGCTAAAAAACGTTTACGACATGTTTTAATGTAGATT